AAATAAATGTTCTAAAAAATGAACAAATGAAAGTCAGACATTGCTTTTCAAACATGTTTCATCAGAATTAAAAAAAAAATAAAACTCATGAAACAGGCCTGGACAGAAATTATGGTACCCTGAAAATAACGTGACCGAAGGCACATGTTAAATCAAAGTGTGTCCATTAATTATCATCACAGGTCTCTACAATCCTGTAATCACTCAGTGGGCCTGTATATAGGACCACAGATACTCACTGTGCTGTTTGGTGACATGGTGTCGACCACACTCAACATGGACCAGAGGAAGAGAAGGAAAGAGTTGTCTCAGGAGATTAGAGAGTAAATTATAGACAAGCAAGTTAAAGGTAAAGGTTATAAGACCGTCTCCAAGCAGCTTGATGTTCCTGTGACTACAGTTAGACATATTCAGAAATTTAAGATCCATAGGACTGTAGCCAACCTCCCTGGACATGGCTGCAGGAAGAAAATTAATGACAAATGAAAGAAGATCCACCGTTGTTTGAGTTAAAGTGGACTTCGTGGGAGACGACCAAGGAGGACACCAAATCATGTGCAGGGTACAATAAAATCTCAAGACTATCAAGGATTCTAGAGAGAAATGTGCTGCCCAGTGTCAAAAAGCTTGGTCTCAGCAGGTCATGGGTCTTACAACAGGATAATGACCCAAAACAGCTAAAAACACCCAAGAATGGTTAAGATGAAAACACTGGACTATTCTGAAGTGGACTTCTATGATCCTGACCTAAATCCTGTTGAGCATCTTTGGAAGGAGCTGAAACACGTCTGGAAAAGGCTCCCTTCAAACCTGAGACAACTGCTGAGAGCTGCAGAAGTCTCACTGACAGTTACAGGAAMGGTTTGATTGCTGTGACTGACTCAAAAGATTGTGTAACAAAATATTAAGTTAAGGGTACCATCATTTCTGTCCAGGCCTGTTTTATGAGATTTATTCTTTAATTCTGTTGAAGCATGGCTGAAAAGCAACGTCTGACTTTCATTTCATTTGTGGGTTTTTCTTTCATTAAACGAGGGGTACCAACAATTTTGTCCACATATGTATATTGCTGAAAGTGTGATAAAGACCTGCTGACTGACACTCACTTATATTTAAGTAACACTGATAGTAACATTTTGAAAAAACTCATTTTTTCCAGAGGATTTAAGAGGTTCAGTATCAGCCAGGAGGTTTTGCTGCTCCATACATGTACTGTAAACCCCTTTACTTGTATAATGAGCATTAAAAATCTGTATWAATCACACGTGCATGCATGTTTTGAATCAATCTGTAAAACTTGAAAAAGTCTGTGAGATTGCCCTGTACTTCTGTATGCCTGTAAAACGAGGGAAAATCTGTGTAACTTACGAACAATCCATACAACTTGACATGTATGAACACACATGCATGTCAACACAACAAAGTCAGAATGACATCAGCAATGATCCTAATATAATGAAATATTAGAGTGACCTTTTTCTTTGGTGGTGACAGTTGTTTTGGCCAGGCAGTGTATGTTGCTGCTAAAATAGGTTCTATAAGTTATCAGATCATGATGTGAGCTTAGTTAAACTTACAGCTCTTTTTATTCTGCCTGGGTTTGTTCAATAAAACATTGGGCCTCATGCAAGAACCGTTCGTACGCAC